AACAGCTTTCAGCAAGCAGATAACTTTATAAATAAGTTTTCACAGCACTAAAAACTTACAAGTCCGATAAAAACAAACAAAACAAAATAAATATATTAAATATATCATACTGCTAGAAAGTGAGCTGCCTTGTCAGAGGTTACTGAACTTTCATTTTTGTATCTATTAAACGCACACAACGCATAAAATGAGACCAAATACCAGCAGCCATGGAGTGGATGCTGCATTTATTAATTCCCTTGAAGGAATTTTGAAGAGAAACTTTACAGTGGATAGATCTCACATTTAGAATTCAGACTCCATTTTTAATATAATGCAGTAGTCTAAGTTGGTACACATTATTTATGCTCTAACCGTAAACACTGTAAATCAAAATGAATACACGAGGGCTCCAAGTCCAAGAGAACTTTTACTTTTAATGCACTACTGCTTTTTTTACTTAACCAAAACATCTAAAAACTGTCTGCCAAATCTGACACGGCAAGAACGAATCGAGTCTTAAGGATAATTGTAAACAACCTAAATAAATCCCACAGTGCAGTAAAAGCCACAGTGTCTCAGCAGCCAGTGTCTCTGCCCTCTTCACCCTAATTTGCCACACTCCGCCCACTCAGGCCTGCAGCACCGTGGAGCTGGCTGATCCTCCAGCCGGGCTGGGCCAGCCCATACATCCCACTGGCACAGGACATCCCGCCAGGAGCCAATCACCAAGCCTGCGCTCCTGACAGCTCATTACCACTCAATTAGGCAGGTGCACCTCCATGCACAGTCTTCTGACAAATACAGCCCTCCCAGATGCATGTTTAACATTCAAGAGAATTATATAGTGACAGCAAACAGTAAACGCCTCACCCTTATCACTTGATTGCCTCAAGATTGAAATCCTATAATTGGCCTAGGCCAGCGGGAGAAAAAAATAAATTAGCCAATAAATATGATGCAGTCGACTTGTAATTGAACAATTATGAATTCATATTCATAAGATGTTTGCTGCCAATTACAAAATGCCATCTGATTAGGCGCAATTTGAAATGACATTGTTCCACGCTAAAGACACTGTGGTGTCAGCCTAATAAAGAGGAGACACATCATAGCAGTAGCTCGGCCACCGACATGACCTCCAGAGATGAGAGACATGCTGACACAGTGGCTTGGCTGGTGACAGACGGGATTTGGCACCCATTGCTCTTTGTCCCCCCTTCAAAACCTACCGCTTACGCTCGCGTGCACCGAAAAATATCAGCGCCGAGGGTTGACTTTCACAAAATTTAACACCAGTGGGCACAGATTGTACACATAACAAAACACAAGCAAGGCAAAAATTTTAAAAAAAAAATCTCGATCCCTTGAGAACAGATTCTAATCAAGATGAAATGATTTACAAATCTATTTAATAAGGCTTGCCAGAAGTCAAACTTGGCATGTAAATGCGGTGGGGATTAAATTTCATCGGCAACCAAGACTGTAACTGATCGCCTGCAGACAAAGGGGGAGCCTGCCAGATTTTTTTCTCCCCCATCCACTTCTATTCCCTCCCTCTCCCTCTTTTTTCTTTTTTTTCCTCTCCAGTGCCTGCGTTTTGCCTCGTGATCCCTCCCTGGCTGTGTGGAAGGACAGGGGCAGTGCAGAGTGGTGCAGTACAGAGTGTGGAGGAAAGAGAGAGAAAAGACAGAAAAGGAGAGGCAGGAAGGAGAGGGGAGATGGAGATGGAGGAAGGGAGGAGATAAAGAATGGTGGCGAGAGGGGGAGTAAGAAGGAGAGAAGGGTAGAAAAGCAGGAGAGAGGGAGATCTCAAGGTCAGTGTGAGGACAGTGTGGTCCTCTGAGTTGGACAGAGACACAGCCGCAGTCACCTCTGTGCTAATCAGCCCTTCGGCTGGCTGATGAGGTGTCAGTTAGACGTGTGTGTGTGTGTGTGTGGAAAACCTTTCCCTTTGCTTTTTTGGCTGCAAAATGAAGGGGGCTGGTCGGGCGGAGTAACAATGTGTGTGTGTGCGTGCACCACTCTGGGGTGTAAGCAGGCTGACGTGCAGCTTGTGGTGCCAGTACTGCGCTTTTTTTCTGCTTTTGCCTTCCCTTTCTCCTTTTTTTTCCTTGCATATTATGCTACAGTGAACTCAGCTTTCCCCTGCAGTGAGGGCAAGAATACAACTGCCAATTAATGCTATATGCGGTGTGCCAGTGTTAACAGTGTGAGGCATTATAGTTCAACTTGCTGTGCTGTTTGAAAAAAAAAAAAACTGGGAAAAAAAAGGGCGGGCTAGCCATTTTCCTTGGGCGTGGCTAACCTCTTGCAGGCTAACGTGGATTGTGCTCCCAGCGCAGGGTGCAAACGAACAGCATCCGCAGCTGTGATTAGGTTTGTGACCTAACAGCTCTGCAGCTTGTGTCTCATTGGGTGAGTTTTGCGTATGAGGCCAATTGGCAGAGGCGAGCGTCTCCTCCGTCTATCCTTGGGTTATTTCTGACCATCTGTGCCCAGTCATTAACAGGCCTTTTCACAGTCAATTGTCTTGTTCGTCTCCCCTCTTCCCCGTTTCTGTTGGTTTCACTGTGCATGACCGTGAGGTGGAGCTCCTTCTTCTTCCTTTTTGTTTTTTTTCCCCCTTGAATTTAAATGGCAGAAGTTAGGAGAGGCCATTTTATTATCCAGGGCTAAGGAGAGCTGTGGAGACGTAGGTTAATTCAAAGTGGCATCATGGAGGATGCATCAAGCAGCGGAGATCAAATTACAGGGCAAAGCCCTCGGTGGTAAAAACAAGCTAGTGGTATGCTGCATAATGTGTGTGTGTGTGTGTTTAACAGCATCTGTGTGTGTGTTTGAGAGACTAGAGAAAAAGAGAAGGGGGACACAAGGAGGAATAAAAAGGAGAAAGAGGAGGATGAAGAGGGGGGTAAAGGGATGGGGATGGAAGGAAAGTGGGAGCAAAAAAAAAACAGGAGAGGGAGAAGAGGCTAACTGGGCCAGTGTGCACATGCACACATCACCCCCTCCAATTAGAGTCACTCACCCCCCCCTATCCGCCCCTTCTTACAATACATCACCCTCCATTTCTGATGTTTACAGTCGTCGGGGAATGAAATAACTGCACACATCACTGCAGCAGTGACGGCACTGAAAAAAAAAAAAAGAGATCTCCTCTGCCTGAAATGCATTTAGCTATTCCTTCTTCCCCCTCATGCTTTTGTTATTGGTCTTTGTGCAATGATTTGCCTAAGGACCCAGATTTCCTAGCAACAGCCTGCCACCAAACATTTGGCAGGAGTTCAACATTCTCTCTCTTTGTGAGAAATGGCAGTGCTGCCTCCCTGCTCTGTGTCTGCCACCAGCCCTGCTGCTGCCGCCGCCGCCGCTGCTGATGCTGGATGAGCCAGACTGGCTGCAAGAGCCCTCTAATAACTCTGTTTTCATCCAATCACACCACATAGTAGCAGGCACCTTGAGAGCCTCTGCCAGGATTCATCAATCACCTCTTTAACACGCATGTTCAGACAAACACAGAGGCATGTGCGAGCAAACAGAACGCGAACGCACACACTCTTGCGCGCGCACGCTCTTGTGCGCTTTCCGGTAATTAAATTTACAGATTAGAGCGAACAAAGCTACGTATACCACCACAGCAGTAGTTTAATGAAAATCAACAAAGCACATTAATGCATAGCAAAGGTTGGTACAGTGAGCGGGAGAGAGGGAGAAGATGTAAAATCTGGCCGTAAATTGGGTAAATACATCTGAGTGCTCTCGACAAGGTTAATGGAGAGAGGAGGCCTTAGTGAACGCTGGTCTAGACACGCCACACAGTATTAAGTGGGAATAGCTGTGGCAGTGTATCTGGCTAAGTACTTTAGAAGTGCGAACGGGACTCTAATAAAGCGAATGATCCCCTGTTTTGACAAAGAGGCCCAGGAGGGACGCTGAACACCACGTTTTAGATTCCAAGCACTGACAAACACCCATTTGTGGCCCTTCTATCCCCCCTTCCAAATCCCACGGAAGCTTTTCCCCTGCGCGCTACGCTGTCGGATGTGGGCAAAACCCAACTGCCAATTTGCAGAGGATGTGCCATGTTTGCTAATGCGAAGCAGAGGCTAAAAATGAGACCACACAAACTCTGGAGGATGGACTGACTGATCTGCTTTCTGGCACGACCACTGAAAGATTCTTTTTCCTCCCCTCTAATAAACAATTTTTCGTTTGGTATTTGTTTCTTCGACTGGGCTGCTAATTATGAAACCTCCATCATTATTGCACTGCGATGCACTCGTGTTTAGAGGACTTGTGGGCAATGGGGAGGTGGGTGGGGGGAATTGGGAATATCACTTGGGACAACATGCCAAGGAGTATGCTGAATGCTGAGCACTAACGCTGATTTATGTTGATAATGAACTGCTTAAAGACGTGGAATGCAGCGCAATTTCAGGGCTATTGTCTTGACTTGAGATCAGAGAAAATGTCGATCTGCCGGAATTAAATATAATCCCAAACAGTGAAACATGAGCATAGCAGGCCATCCCACTCCAGAAGCTGTAAGTAAAGACATTACCTCAGTGGGCGCAGCTCGAGCGTGTGTGAATATCTAAGCGCACATCTGTCCTCCTCAATCTGTGCGTGTGTTTTGTCTGTAAGGAGAAGATTGCGTGGGAGTGGGGGGTTGGGAGCTAAAACCGAATGAACTTGCATAATCAATTTTCACACTTTCACAGCACCTGTTGGCCTGTCTTCACGTTAAAAGAAATGAATGAATGCATTACATGTAGAACAATTTCACACTATGTTGCAGCTTCGCGCACAAAGACCTGGGGGAAAAAATAGGGGGAAAATGGAGCTGTATTGTCTCAATAGGTAACATAGCTCATTTCACTTGACAAAGGATGAATGGATATATTGACAATGCAGAAGGCGTGCTGAGGCATTTCCTGAATAAAGCCTCTTAACATTTTGTCCTCCTCTGGCAGTGGAGTTGGGGAACAGTCATTTTGAATGTAGAGGGTCTCACTTACCGCAATATAATAGACCTTGGCTTTCTTCACCAGCTCCCAGTTGCTGTCCAGGTCCAGGTGTTTTTCCTTTTTGTAGCAGTTTGCCGCTGCCAGGTTAGCAACAAGGGACCTGCCGAGACAGACCCCATAAATCTTCTGCCTCGCTTATCATCCATCTTAATTTTGTCTCAAAAACATCCTTAAAAAACACTCAGGCCTCAGACTTTCCTTTGTTCTTTTGTGATATATAAGGATGATAATAGTTCCTAAGAATGTCTGAGCCAAGGTGAATTAAAGTCTATCTGGATCTCTTTATTTTTCCTTTCTTTAAAAAAACGGTGCTATCTCAAAAAGAAAAAATACACCAAAGAAAGGAGATTAAACAAGCTGAGGGGTTTTCAAAGCCAAAAGAGAGACACCCTAAAATTATTCATATCATATTATCACCTGTAAAAGTTCTGCATAGATAACAAGGGTGGGAAAACAACAGAAAGAGATTACTAAATGAACACTTGAGTAGTGAGTGGTGGGAGCTGGAAAGTGAAGCAGGTGGTATTGTCTTAACACAGCTCATTAGCCAGTCCTCGTGCGCTGTATCTTTATGAGCGGCCATCAAAATGAGTGCAACCATCATAGCTACTTAGGCGAAAACTGCTAGGCGACCATATGACAGGAGGGTGTTGCTACACGAAGGTCTGTTCTCACATGGCGAGAAAAAAAAAAGGGGGAAAAAAAGCTGCTCTCCGTGGTTAGTGTCAAAGAAAAGAGTAACAGTGTGCTAAGCTGATCAGCGTGTGATGATGAAGGCTACGATATGGCAGCTGAATTGGGACCGTGTTTGACCGGAGCTGCCGTAATGGACTCAAAAGGTTGCTACGAGCGTGACAGACAAAACGAGTGTTGTTAACTGAGAAAGTCCAACGGACGTGAGCAGAGCAAATAACCATTATGATGTGACATATTTAAGAGGACAAGCTGAAATGCCACAGTGAGGCACTCCAGGTTAAAACGCTCATTAGGAATTTAACAAAAAGGAAAGAAAAGAAAACTAGGAAATCCAGAGGAATGATTTCTAGTTTTATCAAAGTGGAATAACTGTCACGCATCGATTTCTGTTATAACTCAAACTAGAGTGAAAATAGCTGAGATTGAGTGTGCGACCACTTTCAATAGTACGGGTCAGCTGGAGGAAACCTGTCGCCAAACACTTGGAGAGACTTCAATTGCTCTCACACAGATTGGTGAAGGTTTGCAAATAGTTGCCATCTGGTTTATAAGCGCATACAGTCTGTGAACAGGTTGAAGTCAATCTGTCAACCAGCACCAATAAGCGCAACTCTTATGAGACGCCTGTCTTTGCATTACTAGACTCGACTCTACTGGCTGACAGTTGCTTGTTTTTTTGTTATATTCCTACAGATGAGGACAGATTCACTGCCTTTGGTGAATCTCTCAAATTCCTCTAGATCCGATGATAGTTTGGCACGGACCTTACAGAATTCCAAGACGATGCTTTATGAAGGCCAGTCGGTAACGTTTACTTTAATCTTCTGGAGGTAGTTCTTCACGATGAGCAACGTTGATGTGTTGGAAAACAAGGCGATGACCCAGACTCTGTTTTTCTGCTGACTGCTTGAGGTTTTCTTTTAAAATCTTCCCGTATCCTTCTTCCTTCATGATTCCTTCCACCTTGACGAGATTCCCATTTCCAGGCACACTAAGGCATCCTCACAGCATAATACTCCCACCACCGTGTTTCACTACTGGGGACATTCTCTATCTCCAAACATCAGTAGCATCTCTGTGGCCAAAGAGCTCTAGTTTTGTCTCATCTGATCAAGGGACACATTTCCAGTGTGCATATTCTTGCTTACTATACTTTACTCTGGCTTAAAAGTGTTTCTGCTGGAGAAGTGGAGTTTTCCTTGCTGTTCCTCTTGTGCAGGGTTTTAGTGATTGTTTTCTTTGACTTCATTCCTCAAGTCATTCAATCGTGTCTCTGCAGTTTTTCTGGGGTCTTTAGACACATCTCTCACTAGCTTTCTTTCCAGAATCTTTGAAATTTCCGCTTCCTACTTCTGCCAGGCTTGTTCTGTACTGTGTGGCCTTCTTTGAAATTTCTTGATGATACTTCTCACTCCAGTTCTTGACACTTGGAAACACTATAACTAAAGATAAAGTCTGAACTGGTTTCTTTTGTTTTTGGCATGATGTTTTCTCAAGTGAGAGCTCAAACCATTGCTAAAGTTTTTATACTGTGTGTAAGCTAGAAGATAACCCTCAGTTTCAACTTGATTTTTTAAGCTTTGAGCATTACAAGTTAAAGCACATTATTGTGCCATGGCTCAATAAAAAGATCAGGTGTTTGATAATATTGACCTGAGTGGTTTTATCTGAAATAATTCTGTTATTGTGTACACGCAGAAATAATTTATGCTTTCTAAAGAAAACTGGTATGTTTTGAAATGCTATGTTGAAAATCCCAAGTGCAGAGTTACCAAGTGGCTGTGTCATTTTGCAGTTAAATTAACGCCCTGCAGCAACAACATAACTGCTTGTGAAGGCATTTCTGTTTCAGATGAGGTTCTGGCTCTGCTCTGAATGTAAGTAGTTAATGTGAATTTCTGTGTATGTGACCAGCAACAGATTTGTGATTCTTTTCAGTTTATCACAAAGAAATTCCACATAATTATCAACTTGACGCCAGTCAGCTGCAAACCGATAGCAGCCCGATTCCATCGTATCGCCTTTTCATCCCATCTTTACGCACGAATGTCACTTTGAAGATGGCAGCTGACTGTGAGTGGTTGCAGACCTGGTCCTCATCTTCGAAAGAAAAATTTCGAAGCCAAAGAGACCACAAGTTCATTGCACACAGTTGTTGCATTTTTGGTCGTGCTGCGGTCTCAAACTATTGTTTTCCCTTGTGAAACTGTAGCAATTATGCTATAGAAAACCAGTGAATGTGGTGAACAGGCTGTGTACACTCCAACAAACTGGCAACACAACAAAGGAACGGTTCACTCTCATAAACAAAATACTCAAGTTTTTCCACTGGCATGTAGTGCCATTTATTCATCTCCATTGTTTGGTTGTGAGACACCCAGCTTTGAAGATATTAGCTGTAGCGACATCTGCCTTCTAATGAATAAAATTGAACAAAATTGTTTCATCGTATTTACATCTGTTTTTTAGAAAACCGGACCTGATTCCTCCAAAAAATAAAAAATAAATCCACAAACTAGTCGTCATGTGTTTAGTGTATTTGTAATTTCCCTTCTACTGAACTACACCCCCTCCAGCCACAGAAGTGCGCATCATTGTTCACTTCAACAATCATTCCTTTTGTAAAGTGATATATTTGCTGGGTGTAGTTTGGCAGAGAGAAAATAGGCATTACTTTTACATTATTAACTTCCACAACATTCAAGAGAAGCCAGACATTTCTGCAACAATATCTCCAAAACTGGCAACTCACACCAAAGAAATCTAGATGGATAAATAAATAAGCTATGGCTTTAAGTATTAATAATGTAATGAATCTAAGCAATTAATTTACAGAGGTTCTTGCCAGTGCTTAATAATATATTAAGTTATGCTAAGGTTATCTTAAAACTAAGCTACAGAAAATAACTGCTGACAGGCTAGCAGCATCTTTCACCAAACTGGGAGTTTTTAAACGTGAAAATTATCAGCAAGATCTTCACACAATCTAAAATATTTAAATATTTTAAATATCTGCACAAATTATTGCAGTTTTCTGCATTGAAAAGTTGATATAAAGAAATTTGCGGCTGCAATTACTATGCAAAAACTCAGAGCTCCTGGAGAGACTGGCTGATTGAACCCCTGATTACACTTGTAAGATTTTAATAAACTAATTTCTTAATAGCTAAAATGTGATTATTCAACGTAGGGCATCTGCACAGATTGGGACTCAAACTGTCAGATTTTAGTAAAGGAGGCAGGGTTTTTTTCTGTATCTTTGAAGACTTGCACTAATCAAAGCCTTAGGGCTGTGACACACTGGCTCCCAGTACTTCAAAGCCATCACCCTTCCAATCTGGCCCTGCTGGCGACCTTTCCTCTGGCCTCCTGAGCTGTCTGTTAAACACCTGTAAGAAATATTACAGAGCTCGTCTCCCTGAGCACGGCACCTGACCTTTTCAGGTGTCAGAGCCCACATCAAACAATCCCACTAAGACCATTCAGCAGGGCTGACTCCCGGGGCGGTCAGGGTCCAGGCGTTGACTGACTGACAACTCCAGTAGCAGCGGATAAAGGGCTGTAAAGGAAGGGAGTGTTTGAAGGAGGTGGTTATTGATCCACACCTGGTCTATCATGAACAGGAGCCCTTAATGTTAGTGTTATTTGTGTATCTGTGTGTGTGTGTGTGTGTGTGTGTGTGTGTAGGCTGTGACCTGACGATGCTGGCGTGAGAGTCACCAGAGAGGCTAAAGCCCCTTTTACAGTCGAGAAGGCTGACAGGTGAGAACTGGGATAGCCCAGGCATCCCTAACACATTGCTACTGTCAGCCTATAGATGGATGACAACCCACTGGGACGGCAGAGACTGAGTGGGGGCCTGGAAAAACACGCTCAAGCTGTTCCTTTTCCTTTTGATGTGTGAGCTGAGCTATGATTCCCTGTTATGACTTCTAGCCCCGAGAAGTCAACTGCTTGCCCGTGGAAGTCAAAATGAACCAAAATGACTCTCTTAAAGCCGGGTTACGGGTTACTCCTTGGTCAAGGATAAATGAAAGGTTGCAAACCTATTGTCTCCCGTGATACAGGCTGCACAGGTACCAGTCGGCTCCTCGTTTTGCTCATAGTAATGGGCATCGACATGGGCTTCTTCGGCCTTCTTCTTTAGGATCTCGCCAAAGCGGTCTTTCCCGATGCACCCGAAGAAGGTAGCCACCTTATGGGGCTTCTGGAGCATCCACTGGGAAGGAGAAAATGAAAACAGTTACACAGAGCTCAGTTTACAAAATATAAGTCTGTTTGAGGGGTCAAGTTCAGCTAAGGCAGATGGCACACAAACTGTAGCTTCACAGCAAACATACTGCTTGTGATATATGAGGGCTGCGAGCTGTCGTAAACAGCCCAAGACCAATTCCACTCCGCACAGAGGCACTATTCTCATCCAAGCACTCCTTCCTCCATGTGTGCTAAAAACAGTCTCATCTCCTTATTTACACAAACCCCATAATTCAAGGCTTCATCCTTCTTATGCAAACACAGACTCTGAGTGTGTGACAGAGTATGCAGCCGCTACCGCAGGACACTCCCCGAACTGCTCGCTGGACAATTTTTGGTCCTGACAGTCTTGATGTACTCAGTGACTTTTACCTGATGAGGGAAAAGGGGGTGGGGGCTGCTCAAATTCTACAGCGCTCAGGTTTAACCTCCAAAGATTTATTGACGTACAGTACGTGCTGCTGTTTGCTCGTTTTATTGCAGACTCCTGTTTTGTTGCTGACGGGGGCCCCTTGTGAATGAGATGTTGCTGCTTTTGGGGATGACCTGTATATGTGTGAAATTAATCATTTCACACGACCAAACAGCGTCTCGGTGGGGGAAGAAAAATGCATTTTCATCAACCGTCTAGAGAAGCTTTCCTCTGTTTTTTGTTTTTTTGCGTTCCCCCTATGCCCCACCCTTCTGGTCTCCAGGTAAGTAGTTCAGATGAAAAAAAAAAATAAGGAGGAAAAATAAAAATAAAAATATCCAGGAAAAGATTCATTACATCGCACAAAGCTCACCTGTGTTTCCAGACTAAGGTTGACAATTTGCAAGCGCAGCTGATCAGGGCATAGAGTTTTTTGACTATCTATCTCTGTTTTATGAAACAAAGAAAACTTCTTGCCTTGTTTACAGCCAATTTACCTCTTCATGACTAACGCGAGGGATGGCATAAATCCCATGTTAGGATTCTATTAGAGGCCAGTCAATTTTTAAGCTTTTTAAGAGACAAAAAGAAAGCTGTACTCATAAATACACGTTGATTTTTGACTTATGTGTTGTATGTCTTTTCTAATAAATTAATGAACTCTCCAATAAACAGACGTTGGGAGAGATGGACATCACCGTTCCACCTAAATGTGTTTTACACCAAAAGGAGAGAGAGAAGTTGCAGGCACAGCATGCTGTGGAGGTCAATTTTAATTTGTGTCTGCACCTTCAGCCTCAAGATATGAAAGATCATACTTATCTTTTGTTATCTGAGAAGGGGTCTCCTTTGCCAGAGAAACAAAAACGTGAAGAAACAGCAACACTGGCATCCAAATAAAATGTAATTAGCAGATTAGACATCAGACCCTCCGGTCTCCAGATAACGAGCTGGCTACACATCAACAACAACAGCTGGTTACAAGTTAACGTTATGTTAGCTAATGTTAGGCTCTAGTGTCCTTAAAAAAAACTATTTGACTACATTCTCACTTTGTTTGAGAGAAGAGTCCAACAATGTTAGAAGCTAAAGCAGGCAAACATTGGCCGCCCCTCCCTGAGTCTGGTTCTGCCGGAGGTTTCTTCCTGTTAAAGGGGAGTTTTTCCTTCCCACTGTCGCCAAAGTGCTTGCTCATAGGGGCTCATAAGATTGAGTTTTTCTCTGTATGTATTATTGTAGGGTCTACCTTACAATACAAAGCGCCTTGAGGTGACTGTTGTGATTTGGTGCTGTGTAAATAAAATTGAATTGAATTAAATATTACACAGTTTCACAGCCTCCTCCAGAGTAAATAGCCATGGACACATATTAACAGCTGAGGTAAACAGTGTACTTACGGCCTACACTCACTACAGATGAACGGCTAGAGTTGCTAGGATTATGCACTTGAATTGGGAGGGCTAGGAAAATAGAATTCAGTTGACTGCAATCTGGGATCTACTGACATCTCATGGTAAGATTTTATAAACTGCAACTTTAAAGTTAGCATTGCAAGGGGCGTGGCTACATTTCACCTGTTATGAATCTGATTAAATCTTGACCTCTAAGTTGTGTTTGTCACTTTTGGAACTAATACGCACTAACAGCCTATCCCAAAAGTTTGTGCTTCACTTTTTGTGAATAAAATCAATTATTTTTTTATTATTTTTAGTTTTTTACTTCGCACTAATTAGCAGGTATTTGTTTTTGTGTGCTGTCAATGGATCATCATCTTCTTCTTTCCGCTGATCCTATTGGGGTGACCACATTGGATCATCTGCCTCCATCTCACTCTATCCCTAGCATCGTCTTCTGTCACACCACTAAACCTTTGAGCAACTATCAAAACAATTCACAACAGCTGATTTTGGTTTTTGTGGTGGGTTTTTTTTCAGAAAAATAAATAATCGCCTTTTATTTTCCAGACTAGGCCTTAGGAAATGAACAGTTATAATGTCACATATGCCTGCTGCATCTTGGTCCGTGAGTGCGCCCTACCAAGGTGTCATCTTGAGTCATGGTTCTGTCATTCAACCATGCCTCCAACTCCCCACCTGGCCGAAATACACAAACACACCAACGTGTACATGCGTGCGCACGACTGCGAGCTCTTCTTCCCTAACCTCTTGCTGCAGGCACCTCACACTTATCAAGGTCACTGGCTCGGGTACACGTCAAGTCCAATCTGATTTTCCCCTCGCCGCGATGAGCGCAGAATCCAAGGTTAGGAGCTGCGGGCTGTAAATAATGACAGCGCGGCCCCTCCATTTGCAGAGCTCTCAGGTGGGAATAGAGAGGGCCACTCAGGGGCCTCAGTCCCTCTGATGACAGCACGGTGAATCACAGCAACCACCGACCTCGTGAACATAGCCCCCCCCTCATCACACCTCCCTCTGAACTCTCCTACTTTCCCTCTCGCTCTGTCTCTCTCTGACCGTCGGCTGTACTCTCACTGCCAGCTCAGCTTGTCATTTTACAGGGTCATTAACAGACATAAGTACACACTAACGTGAGCACACAGTGCACCTACACGGGCAGAAGGCTGACGTACACACACGTACACACAAAAAGACAAATCCTGTTTAGTTCCACAACATCAAAACTCCCTCCTAAAAAACAAAAAGAAAAGAAAAAACGCCCCTGCTTTTGCCAGAAGCTGCTCTGCTACTCCAATAAACACAAAGCACCAATAGATAAGCAGAAAATGTCTTCATTATGAGCAAGAGAAAAAAAATATCTTGCTAAAAATAAATATCATCCCCTCTTTCACCGTGGTATGCAGGAGCAGGGAGTTATATCAATTCATTTCCATCCCTGGCACCCTGCAGACAATCCCTCTCCATTCCCAGATTATGTGAGATAATACCTCCATTATGACAAAAGCGCTTTCCGCGGGGTCGCCGAGAGGTCAACCAACCCTGTGCTGGGTATTCATGCTTAGTCACATCCCAATTATATCGCAGTGGCAGAGGCAGGAATTGGCAAATGTACATCAAGGCGCTTCATTACTGAGGGCCGCTCCAGTGAAATTAAGCAGCAGATGAGACAGAGTGAGATTTGCCCCCAGGCGGCATGTTAGAGAGCGACTGTGCGAGAGAGAGAGAAAGAGGGAGGAAGATGGGAAGAAAGAGGGAAGCTGAAGTAACAGATTTTTGTGGAGGTGCTGGGAGCTTGTATCTCGCGCAGCAGCTCATGTATATTTACTTAACTGGGAGAACACTGGTCCCCAAAGATTAATAAGTTCCCATGACGCACCCAAGCAACATATCTTTAGGTGCGTTTCGATACAGGAGGGAAACCTAATGCAAGCAAGAGAGAAAAACACCCATGAAAAGCAGGCGGTAAGATGATGCACAGGCTCACTCGCTACAGGCAAAGCGGTGATAAGTGTACATTATGTTAAGTGGAGAATACGTCTGGCGTCTCTTTCTATTTGGCTTCCATTTAGCCAAATAATCCCCCCCCCTCGACATACACTCTCCCAAACCTACCCAAAACTGGCCCCCAGGCACCCAGATAGCTATTAATTATGACATCTCATGGTTGCAAGGAGCCCCATTTGGGGATCTGACCTAGGCCCGCTCCTCAACACCCAGCAGCTGCCACTCTTCACTACGGAAGCAGCCGTTTCGCGTGGCGGCTTCCAGGAGGGCAATTACACAGCCCAGATGAGATGAGACGGCTGAATGTTTGGGACTTGAGTGCTCAGGCTGCCATTAGCACTATAAGCTATTACATTCCCCCTTCTTTTCCTGCCCCCCTTTTTTTGTGTTCAACTCTCCCCTCCCATCGTCTCCCTCACTCGCTGCTGTATATTGATGAAGTAGTAATGGGACCTCTAGTTAGATATTCCTGCTGTAAAAACATTGTCTTGTTTCTTGTCTCCCTCAGGGGTCAATGTATTCTCCTGGAGTTGCTGGGAAGAATTTCTGCTCTATTAATGATGCAATTCCAATGCAATTCAGATCTACTGAAGTCGCAGCACAGTACCCCCCCCCTTTTTTTTTTTTTTTTTTTTTGCAGGGAGTTGATAGACGCCGCTGTGTGTTATCCTGCAGCTTTACAACAAAGTGGTGCCTCCTGCACATCATGGGGAAGCTGAGTGGCTGTCACTTGTTTCAGTTCATCCTTAAAACAAGGACAGAGAAGTCCCCATTCTCCTTGCCTCACCTCACTAGCAGTTCCTCTTGAGAAGAACTTGACCGTGCCTAATGATGGTCACATTAATTATAGGCTTATCAACCTCAGCAAAAATTCAATAGGGCTATTTATAGAGGCCTAAAATAGCTGAGGGCGAGGGTTCTGCTCGCTAGGGTGGCTTATAACAGCCTCCTCTCACTCCAAAGCCCCTCTTTTGGAGCTAAAGGCGGAGGCCGATCAGCGTTTCTTTTTACCGTGCAGTTAAAACAACTAGTAAGCATCTGTCCATCAGCGACTGACATGGAAGGTGCTTATATATAAAGTATTGGTGAAGCAGAGGGCCCTTACCACGAGTGCTGACATTGATGAGGTCT